AAACTTAAGGTCACATACAACAGAAATATATAATGAAAGCTAATTCAATGTTAACGGCCAGAAAATGGGGACCAAAGAACTAAAGTGGTTGCTAAAATTAGGCTTACTATCTGGCACTCAAGATAAAAGGAGAAATTCAGATAGCTATATAAATGTCAGAATTAATACATGGTTTACACTGATTTCTTGGGTTTACCTGTCTGATCTAATACTCAACCCCCAAGCTTTTTCCCACACTACACACACATACACACACACACACACACACACACACACACACACACACACACCAATTTCTTACCTAGAATTTTGTATGGATCCATTGAGTGATATGACAGACACATCATCCAATATTAATGTAGCAGTGCATTTCATTCATTTTTAAAAATCAGAAGTGCCCTTTGATAGAAGTTGAAAGAGTAATGTAAAAGTAAAAATGACCTCATTATGTGGGACGTTGGCTGCATCTGGTTGAGAAAAATAACTTGAAAGCATATAGAAAAGGCATAGAATTTTACTTTAAAAAACAGAGATATTCTGTAAATAGTGTCCTTTCAATCAAGCTTCTGATAAAAGTGCCCAGAGTTTGAGGTTGCATACTCTGAATATATATTGTATTGTAGGTATTCTATAAGGCATATGGATTGAAAGCAGATCCATATACCTTATGGTAAGAAGATGAGATGAATGGACCCTTATGTTGAAACCACAGGGGCCCTTGCCTGGATAAATGAGTACAAGGTACAGAGTGCAGCAGCAGGGGTATCTGTAGGAAAGTTAGTATTTAGGACCATTTAAAATTGACTTTAGAAAGCTGCAGTGGTTCTCTTCTAGTACATGAACAGGGCTAAGATTGTCTTCAAATTCTAACCACTGATAATAGGGCAAAATGGTTCCGATCTTGAAATATTCTAAACCATATGTCATTACAGGAAAACATCAATAATACTCTTTTTGAATTTATTACTTTTTCATTGTACATCAGTATGAATTACTTATAATGTAAAAATGAATTAAGTTGCTGTAAGAAGTGATTTGAGGTAAGCAAACTGAATTTGGAGAATGTTTGCCAAAGACAGTAAGTTTTATTTCAGAGATATTGGTATCATGCTGGTTTCTCAGATATGATCAGATGCCAGTTCCAACTGCCTGTGGAGGAGCCTTCTGGTCCTTCTTGATAGAACATTATCATCAGTCAATAGGAGGATTCACCGAATTCCCTATGGCAGGATGGTATGCATCTACTTCATCTAAAAGCAGCTCTAAATAATTTTGGTTTAAGTAAACAAAGGAGCCCAGAACACTCTGTTGTTAAATATAATTCTAGAAATGATCTAGCACTATTGGGAGATGTATTAAGGCACGTGCATGCACAGGTCGTAAGGACTAGAAAGACGGGACAGTCGGGAAGAGAAGGCCAGGAACGAGTGGGAGACAAGTTGGCTGTTTTCACACAGAGATACACAGACTGTTCAGAGGCAACCACAGGACTTCCTCGTATCTACAACTTCCTTTCTTCCCAAACTATGTCATTCAGTATGGATCTGCTAATGGTAAACTTTGTTTCTGTTCTTTCAAAATATGTTTGTTTGTTTGTTTTTTATGTCATTCTTGAATGATAGTTTTTCAGGGAATATGTTTTTATTTGATCTGTTTCCTCTACATAGTGTTAATACAGCATTGTATTCTTTTTTTTTGCTATAGAAAAATCTGTCATTTCTGTCTGTTTTTCTATTTGCAAGCAAGATGACCTTGTCTACTATGTTATTGTTTATAACAGATCTGGTATTGACTGAATTTTGCAGTGTCTGATTTCTATCCTGAGATATCCCTGTATCTTTATTTAAACATTCCCACTTTTATTTAAAATAAGGTAATGTTATGCCCTAATCATAGCAAGTCTCAAGAACCACTGGAGGACTCAGATGGCATGTAAAGACAAAAACCCTTTATTAAAGCAATACAAGCTTGAGCTTGGGCACCCAACTGGCCCAACGCAGCGGGACTTGGTTCGGGAGCCCCTGTGAATGTTTTAGTAGGATTTTTATACACACAGGAGAGGCAGTGAGGGAGTTTCTTACCAGGCAGAACTGGGATAGGTTGACCTTTAACTAGGGCTGGTTTGTCTCAAGCTTATTGGGTCGTTTGTGGGGGTTCGCCACAATTAGTTCCCCTTTTTTCTGCTTGTGTAATGCCTTTCAAGAGGGTGTTTTTCAGTAAGTTTGTGGTTTTTCTTAGTAACTGACTTGTGACACTGACTTGTGACACTGATTTGTGACACTGACTTGTGACACTGATATGGGGTAAGTTAGTTTTAGCCTCTTGAGATGGAGTCACTTTGGTCAAGTCTCGCTTGGTTCTCTCACTAACAGATGCATTAGCTTTCTATTGCTACATAACAAGTTACCCTAAATGTAGCAACTTAAAACAACATCCATGTACTAATTCACAGTACTAGTGTGGGTGAGAGGCCCAGGTGAGGTTGACTGGGTTGTCAGATCAAGCTCTCACAAGGCTGCAATCAAAGACAAAGCAGGATACATTCTCATTTGGAGCAGCATCCTTTTCCAGGGCCATACAGATGGCGGGCAGAATTCAGCTGCTTGAGGGTGCAGGACTACGGTACCCATTTTCTTGCTGGGTGTCAAGTGGTGTTATTCTCAGTTCTTAGAGGCTGCCTGCATTATTTCCCACATGGCCTCTCAATCTACAAAGCTGATAATGGAGAATAGCTTTGGTGTCAGATCTCTCTGATGCTTCAAAGCTCTGACTCCCGGAAAGAAGCTAGTGCCTTTTAATGGTTCAGCCAATTAGGTCCAACTCACCCTGGATGATTTCCCTTTTTAAAGTCAACTATAACATAAAACAAGCTGATCATGAGAATAAAATCCATTATATTCAGTCAGAGGATTATGCAAAGCATGTGTACCAGGAGGTAGGGTCCTTGCAATTCACCTTAGAATTCTGCCTATAGTAATCACCAATGAGTTCTAATTAAGAGAACATTTTCAAGAATGAAGTTTCTAATAGGTAAAGTTCTGTTTGGAGAGAAAAACCTAGGTATCATTTAAAAATATTCAGTTAAATACTTTGAACCCTCATGAATATGTATTTATTGATATGCAAACAATTTATTTGGTTTAAATTTAACATTTGCATTGCTGAGATGTCAAATTTAAATAGATAATGGAAGGAGATGGGAAAGTGGAGAGTCCATTCTGGAATCTGTTTTTAATGACAACAAGAGCTCTGTTTCTGCACATACTAATTTAAGATTAAGACCTCTCTCCAGCTTACTTTCTTTGGCTGCCTCTTTTACATCTTTGGCTGGGATGGTCTTATTCCAAGGGATGGCCTTGCTGATTCCCCCAATTTAGGGAAGGATGAGTAATTGAATGGTTTCTTAATAGATTTTGCTTGCTTACCTTGGCAGGCATTTGCCTGCTCCCAGCAATGCCTGGAAATATGATTTGTTGGTGTGAGATTACTACTCTTTACCCTGATCTGCGTTTAACCACCTTCAGTTTATTGCCCAGTGTTTGACTTCATCCAAGAAGGCTGTTGGGGAAAGTGGTGTTTTAAGTCTGGGGAGAGGAAATCCTGGGGCAAAATACCTCTAAAAACTGAAATCAGTCAAAGGGAGAAATAAAGTTTAAAACCCATTTATTGCTTACAAACCGCAGTCCAGCGCCGGCTCTCTCGTCTTCACCGGAAGAAGCCAGCAAGCAAACCAGCCCCTCCTGTTAATCTCTCAGGTTCAGACACTCCCAGGTAATTACCCATTGACATGGAGATGAACTTCTCTCCATCCCTGAGGACATGCAAATGTACCAAAGCCAGGGGAGATATTCTGGAAATGTTACAATTTTACCCACAGGTGTATTTGCACAAGTGTCTTTCTTGAAAGCCTACTTCAGGTCACAGTACATACTCATTGAAGAGGAAACAAAGTTTAGGCATCCATTTTGTGCCACTCAGTATTTTGAGATGGACCATGCTTCAAAAATTTGTTTTTATCGGAAACATACCCTTACACAAATGGCTGTGTTCAACACTTCCCCACTCAACCTCCAGACACAAAGAAGACACGTTTTCTTCTCCTTCCTAATAGCTGGTTCAGGGTTCTGGACACCAAGTCCCAGCACCAACGACGCGACGGGGCGCCTCCCGCGGTCCTCCGTGGCTACCGGGCCGGAGCAGCGGGAGCCCCCCGCACCGCTCCAGGCCTGCGGGCTTCCCGTCGGGTGAAAAGGCGATTCGTACCCCGCTCCGCTGCGCAGCGAGGAAGGATCTTCCGCTGCTCGGGCAGGAGGGGAAGGCAGCGCGGAGGCGGCGGCGCCGGGCAGGTCTAGGCGGGCCGGGCACGCCGGTCGGGAGCGGAGACGCGGGCGCGGGGCCAGGGAGACCAGGGCGGCGCGGGGCCAGGAGTTCGGCGAGAGGAGCCCGGGGCCGGAGAGGCCAGGGCCGCGCGGGCAGGGGGTCCCGAGCCGCCCGCGCCGCGGCTGCCGGGACGGCGGGTAACCGACCCCCAGGCCTGGCCGGCGGCTGGCCGGCGCGGCGCGGGCGGCGGAGCGGTGAGTCGGACGGCGGCGCTTCCCCCCGGCGGGGCTCCCGGCGCGTCCGGACCCGAGTGCCCAGGCGTCAACCTCTAGGTCAGGCGGGCCTCCGGGGGTCGGGGCGAGGCTGCCACTCGCGAGCTGGGAGAGATCCCTGAGGTCCGGGAGCGGGGGTCCCCCTCCCCCGCCCACCCGCTGTACTGCACATCGTCCAGACCGCATCCCTAGAGTCTCACTATTCTTCTCAAATAATTATTTCTACCTCTTTAGTTTGTTTACAAGGCCTCCTTGTGGTGGCTTGTGTATTATTCTTTTGAGTTGTTATTTGTATTTCTTCTTTGATATTTCAGGTATCTGCCTAAATACTGCACACATAAATGAGGGAGAGGCTGGAGATTTTGTATTTATTCTCTCTATAGCACCCTAAGAGATGATCCCCTACACATCTCTGTTCCGATAAGGAAAATGAGTTTCACAGCTGATACAAGATTTCACCAACGTCAGAGAAGTGGCCAGCTTCAGACCTAGGACACTAAAGATCTCCTGACTCCCAGTTGAAATCACTTTCTTCTTTCCTGACATTCATTGGCTGCCCAATCAATATTGACTTGGTAGCTTCCCAGGCTACTTAGTATTGCATGATCTTGACCCAAATGTAGCATTCTTGAGATCTTCCTAACCCTCCACCTCTCCCAAAAAATTGTTTCTTGCCCTGCCATGGCATTAAGTTTCAGGACACCATTTAGCAAATCAAGAACTCAGAGACAAATGGATAGCTATTTGAGAGGCAGACGCATCCGACAATCTGAAGGACTTTGAACTGTTAAGTTTATGTTGAAATACTATCTACACATTTCTATGTGAGACTGGTGCATTTCTATGCAATCGTCTCATTTTATTTGTTGCATTCTTGAGGGTTTATTATTAACCATATCCAAATAATTTCCAGAGCTATCAAAAATAAGAGTTTGAATGTTAATCTACCCATTCTCCCTTGGTGAAGTCCCACTATTTTTCACAACTGCCAGAGTTCTTGTACACAACCCAGTCTTCCCTCTGTTTTTGCCTCAGATTCAGCCTAACCTCTGACTCAGCTAACTTGTTGCTGCGTCCTCAGAGGATGTTCTTCTCTGTTCCCTACAGCAGTGAATGATACCTGCATGCGGTCTTCTTTCCTTTTCCATTTGAATATGAACTTCAATCTCACACTGGCTTAATCTGCTAGGCTAGAAGCATGACTTCCAAGAGTTCTGGACTCACAAATCCCAAGCTTGCACCTAATAAGAAAATCTAGAAGCCCCCTTGTGATGACTTGCCTTGACCCCAGTTGGTTCACCTGCCGTTTCTAGAGCATTCATGTCAGGGATGGGGCTGCCAGGATTGACAGCAATAGATCAAACCATGTGGATGGAGTGGGAAAGCAATTTCTCAAAGCAGTCCTCTTTTATTTAAAGGAAGGAGAGTTTCTGGAAAAATAAAAATAAAAATATCTACCCAGATTTTATCTAGGCATATGAAACTGAAGGGTAATGAAAATACTGATTAGAAAATTGCTAAAATGCTAGACACTAATCCAAACAAAATGGAAAGAAGAGGATGTGTGGTAAAGGAAAAGAAGAGAGAGTAAACAGCTGTAATACTCAAAGAAGTTAAGGAATTTTTGTTGTGGAAATGATGTAGGGAAAGAATTGGATCATTCATCAGCTTTTGGATCATGTACCTGGTGGGAAAGCAGAGTATCCAAAAGCAGATGGCTGCATGTGAGCCTTAATGATCATCATGTCTGTTTTCTGCACAATAATACTAATAAAATATATATGGCATTTTAAAATTGGTGGTGAACTTTCAACCTCAGTTATTATGCTGTAGAAACAAAGACCACCCAAACGAGAACAGACAGAGGCTACTTATCCACAGCTTGCTATAGCAAGGGAGTCAGCCACCATCAGTTGCATTGGGCAGAACCTCAAAGGCAGACAGGAGAGCGGGGAAGTATTACACTGTGAGAAAAGAAGCCTTCAGGTATGCTCTGCCTGGAGGTTGTGTTTATGGGGAAGCTAGAGGTGGGCTCACTGGGAGTGGGACTGATCTGGGCAGCGCATCTGGCTTTCCTTGTTTGGCCCTGAGCTGAAGCGCAGGCACATTGGGAAGCTGGCCGTCCCTGCCCAAGTTGTGATATGGGCTGGTCACTGCCGAGCTCGTGGTCTGGCTTCCTGGGCCAGTGGGAGCAGAGGCTGTGGGTGACAGTTCTGTTTTCATATATGGTCTGGCTATTGTCCATTTGTGTATTCAGTCTTTCATAGCTTCTAACAGTTCACTTAGGTAAATTTCATCTTGCCCTCATATAGGAAAGTGAGATATGGAGAGATTTGGACAGGTTAAGTATTGTATTCATGAATGTATTTGTCATGATCCCTCATTCACCATTTATAAAGCATTTGCTTTATGCTGGTCAGTGGACTAAACAGTTTGCATATGTATATTAATCCTCCCAACAGCACCGTGAAGCATTACTGTTCTCACCATCTTTTGTGGGGTGGGGGACAGATGCTCTGTTACATGAAGTTCCCTTCTCAAGGTCATACAGCTAGGATGGAGCCTCTCCGGAACTTAGTCCTGCATCTGACCAACTTAAAAACTATGTTTTTTGGCACTCTATTAAACTGTCTGATAATCTTTTACTTTCATCACTATACCACTTTATATTACCTTAGTTTGTATTTAGGAACTAATATTAACATCTGGCCTCCTTTCCTGGGTAAACAGAGATACTTGAAAGATCATTTTGTGTGAGCTGAAGGGATTCAAGCTACCCTTAGGATGCCGGAAAACCTGTGGATTTAACTACAGACCAGTGAAATGGATGAGATGCCTGGCCATCTGAAAAGATATAGCAAGGGTGGGGGGCATCAAATGGCCGCAGAGACAGTGAAAGAACCAGGAGGCTGAGTGCCTGAAATGGATTGCTTCTCTTGATGAACCAATCACACAGTTTCCATAGAAAATATTCAAATACCCCTGTGCTGATGCTTAGTAAGATGCTTCATGGACAAACTGGACATTTTTTTTCATAAAAAATTTTTTTGTGGAAATGAGACTTATTTTTCATTTTCTCCCTTGAGGAAAAATCTCTCCTCTGGAACTGTAATTGTTAAGTCCCAAAATTACACTTGTGACATATTCTTTGAGAGTCTGAAAGGCCGAGTATTTTTGCTAGTAAAACAGGGTTAGCCAGTGTTAATTCTGTGTTAATCACTTTCAGCGATCCATTGCTTATGGAAGTTTACTCAGTTTATACTGCCAGAACAACCTTTCTATTGGCAGAGAACACAGCACAGAAACAAGAGAAGAAATGCAGGAAAGTGTCCAGAGATCCGACTTATTTCCCGCTTCTGGGCTATGCAGGTGCTCTTGGTCTATATGGTCTGTAACTACTACTGGTGTGCATCCACAGCAGGGGGACCCCATCTGCTGCGGTGGGGAGCTCTTAATGAACTCCTCATACAGAAATAGGCCAGCTATGTTGCCGGTCTTCACTCTGAAAGGTCCCCTCCCCCAGGGCTCTACTGAAATAGATGCAATTACAAATACAATTAATACTACTAAACAGTGCTGGCAGGTTGATAAGTCCTGCTCTGAAACAACTCATAGACCCACGGTCTCAAAACATCATTTATCTTTAGTTAATGTACCCTGTAGTGTTTGCCAAGGGTCAGGAGCTCTGGAGATAAACTGCAATTAGTTCAAAACAGCTAAGATGAACCCCTTGTATGCACAGCCTATGGGCACATCAACTTTTAAACTAAATGCTCAAGCCTTTTCCACAACAGAACTGGCAAACAAACAAGCAACCCCTCTTGTATCCATATATCACCTCATGTATAGTTCTTTCTATCCATCTGTTCAATTTTTGGAAAGAATGGTCTGTTCATACTTTTCCTTCTTCCACACATCTATTCCTGCACTTCTTGGTATTTAAATTTTGCTACTGTCATTTTTGGCAAATGTTCATGTTAAGGTCACCCATGACCTATTGCCACATTAAATGGAGTTTTGTTTTCTAGTTTTCATCTTATGTAACTTTTTGAAGCTATTTAGGTTAGTGGATTCTTCTTGAAACTCCTTTCTCTTGGTTCCTATGGACCATTCATTTCTGTTTTTCCTTCAGTTTTTCTAGAAATTGTTAATGTTCATTCTCTTGGCTTTCATTGTTAATATTCTTTTTTTGTGTGATCTTATCCTATGACCAGTTCCACAACAATATTCAAAACTGTAGCACCAGTCTTCAACTTCCTCATGAATACTGGACACACATATATTATAACCATTAAAAGGCGCACCTATAGTCTCCTCTTCTCTAAACCCCACCAGTTCTTCCTCGGAGACCCGGCTGAGGATGCTGCTCGTGACAGCTCTTCATTCCTTCATGCCAGAAACTGGGGTTTCTAGACTCCTCTTCTGTCACTTACCACATCCAGTCTCTCACTGTGTCCTGCCATTTGTCTTTCTCCTCCTCCTACTTCCTCTGGCCTAACTAAGAAAAAAATTTACCTTGATTACTTCAGTAGGCTTGGTCATTTCCTGCCTCGGATCCTGCTGTCCTCTAGGTAGACCTCCACAGCGTGGCACTGGGTTCTGACTACCTGCTGACCTGTGTATTCCTGTGAAAGAGTGTAAGTGGTTAGAAAGAGGTCTTGTATACATTTATATCTTCAGTGCCTATCATATAATGTACATTCAGTAAATACTTGTAAATGAATATCGAGTTTAGAAAATATGTATGGACAATGATATGCTACTGATATGTTTTAGAACAATGTTGTCCAAAAGACTTTTCTGCAGTGATGGAACTGTTCTGTAATATGGTGGTGACTCACTTGCTGTGGCTGTTGAATACCTGAAGGTGTCTAGTGTGGCCAAGGGACTGAATTTTTTATTTAAAGTTTAATACAGCTGGTGTCTGAAGTATAGGACAGTACAGCTCCAGAAAATAGGCTCAGAAATTGCTTTCTTTCTTTTGTATTCAATTAACTCCTAGGTGGAAATAAACCAAAAGCAGTTTTCTCTCATTAATCATTACCACTTCAAACTTAAATTCTGGAGGTGTTCTTTCACACAGAATTCAGCAACTCCATTCAGGAAATATTTTTGAACACTTGATGTATGCCAAGTCCTACGGTTCAGAGAGAAACGAAACACCTAGTTTCTGCATTCAGTGATGCAGCAGTAAAATGCCACCTGGTAATGGAATTTGATTTCTGAAAGGTCAGTATTTGGGGGCATTTTGAAGGGTTGATTTAGACAGTGGGAAAGAACATTTAAAATATTTTTTTCTCTTCTTCCTCTACCTCCTCTAACATCTGGATTCTGAAGTAGAAAATGGGAGTGGAATTGTCAAAATTAAACTTGGGATGATGACAGTAACCCTTTTGGATCCACTGTGTATCCTTCCAAGTGTGATGAACTTGTGCTGGTTTCTTTGACCTATTTAGTTTCATTATGTTTCCCTCTTTTCTACCCATACATATTTTCTAAACTTTTCTAAATTTTTTTATCTGCTTGACATCTTTGCTTTCAGATATACTAATATCTTTGCATTCTTTAGTACGAT